TTTTACTTTTTAAAGGCTAATCTACTCAAGTTCCTCTTATATTAAAAAAATAAAAAGCTAATTTGTCTCTTTTGGAAAAAAATGTTATTTATGTAATGCTCAAGGAAAAAGGGTGTTCAAATAATAGATCTGACATCAAATCAGGGTTAGGATCATACTTATTGCTCATAAGTTTGACATTTATTCTAATGATGGTCCTTTCAAACACTAGCATGGTTAAATGGCATTTAAGTGCACTTTCTAATGTAAATTCTCATTTTAAAAATACTCATCCTCTACCTTGCAAAGTAGAAAAGGAAGAAAACCCCCAAGCAAGCAATTATAAACATTTTTACCCATGGAAAAAAAATATAAGAAATATTCACATAACATTTGAGATTTGCCTATTCCCTCCTTGCATGCTAGAAAGATGCAAAGACAAACACTTCCAAATATTCAGACAGATCATTCCCCAGTTGTAACTTTCATCATAGTTCTCAAAGCAGTATGGTGAGGTCAGCTCACAAACAGCTTAAGTAGCAAAACTAGAAATTGGTGGTAGTAGTATCAGGCTACATAACAGCCTCTCTAAAGAATATGAAGTAAGAGAACTAAAATGTGCTGGCAACATGCCAAAAGACTGGATGGAATATAGCTTTGAGCAACAAATACTCAGAGCTTACAGTATATAGCAATTCATCATCTCTTATCCTGTAGCTTGACTTTCCTTGCTTTAAACCAAAAATAGCCATATATAAGAGGTATTTAACACTACAAAATGTGTCCATACTTATGAACTGAAAGGTATCTGGGCCTGCAATGATTTGTTTAACTAAATACATATCCTAAAAAAAAACTCTGACTTCCATTCTGTATGAAGATTAGTAAGGTAAAATGGATAAAATTATATTCACAATATTACGCATAAAATAGCCTTTATTCCCTAAGCCTTTATTATACTACCCTCAAGCATAATCCTAAAGGTTTGGGTTTTCTTTATTGTCAGTTCTGAGCATCTCTTCAACTGGCTGGTATTTAGAATTAGTCAACCTTCTCAATATATTTAATAAAGAATTAATCTTAGCCGGGCGCAGTGGCTCACGCCTGTAATCCCAGCACTTTGGGAGGCTGAGGTGGGCGGATCACCTAAGGTCAGGAGTTCGAGACCAGCCTGATCAATATGGTGAAACCCCATCTTAAAAAAAAAAAAAAAAAAAAAAAAAACCAAATTTAAAAAAAAAAAAAAAAAAAAAAAAAAAGAATTAATCTTGTCAGATCAAAGGACAGGATTTTGGTCAGATATAATTTTTTTGAACTTAGTCAAAATATATGTTACTTTTATAATTTCATCTTACATGAATCATATATTAAAACAGGATAATAAACTCACTCTTAAGTCTCTGATACTTTCTAAAATACTTTTTTTCTAAGAAACCAGAAGAAAAAACGTTATTTTAGGCAAGAAAAAAGAATCGGGTTCAAATCAAATCAATACACATTTAACAGCTATTTTGTGCCAGACATTATGCCATTATACTGAGAATGTGGAAACAAAGATAATACTTATATATATACAGTCTCACAGAGCTGACAGTCTGGTTGGGAAGACTGACCCATTTAAACACACCTACACACTCAATGTGCTTTACTAGCTGTAGGAACAAAAGCCCTGCTATCGCCAAGGAAAGAGTGAATGAGTCTGCCCCAGGGGGTGGAAAAATCTTCAAAGGCAAAGTAAGATCTGAGCTATGTCTTGAAGGATAAGAATTTCACAAGGAAAAGAGGAGTATTACCAGCCATGGGCAATGTTATTCAGCCAAAGACTGAGCAAATGCAAAAAAGCACAAAAACATAGCATGTGTGAGGAAACCTATGTGGCAAGGGTAGGATAACAATTTCTGGTACATGTGCTACTACTCTTCTACCTTCACTGTGGAACAGACATCACTAATCAACTAAAGCATGTTTAAAACCCATATGACACCTCAAAATTTTTCTCAACACATAACACAAAACTAGCAGAAGGAGGTAGGTCCGTGAGCTGAAATACACATGCTATCCTAACCCTGGAAAAAGAAAGTGGTGAGACCTGAGGCAAAGGGTAAATTAAGAACAGATTATGAATAACCATGAATGCAAGGCCAGCGAGCTTACATTTTATCCTGTGGACAACAGAGGATGAACAAAGGATTTTATGAACAATATTGATGTGATTAATTTTGCCAGATGTGTGAAGAATGGATTTGGACAGACAGAATGAAGGCAGGAAGAAAGAACAGTTAAGATGCTATCATAAAAGTCCAGGCAAGAAACAATGAGACCTGAATTTCAGCCATGGGAAAATCTACTGCAGGTTCTAAAACAAAAACGAAGTTTTAGATTTTATTATCTGTGGTTTTAAAATAAAAACTTGGGAAAAAGTAATATTCTAATCGGAATTTCCATATAACACTCAAAAGGAAAAGAAAAAACAAATCAAGGTAAAGACTTAGAATTAAAGACGTGAATCACAATGATAGAATTACTCAAGACTATAAATTCAGAAATAGATATTTCACGTTTAGCGTCAAGAAAGAGAACATCCTCATGACCAGACTAATACTCAGCAAGTCTTTTCTTCCTCTCAGCGCACTAATACTCTAGCCAAACAACAAACGCCATTCACCTTACATGCCCCTACAACACAGGGTCAAACTCATACTCCCGGTGAGATGCAGAAAGTACAAAAGTCAAATTTAAAACAGAAGTCTGAAATCACGTAGAAGCTCAACTTTATCCAAACATTTAAAACTGCATAATTCTTTTAAGAAACATAATTTATAGGAAATAAACCTTCCGGAAATAATACAATTCTACCATTAACTAATTCATATCCTAGCCTTTAAACTCTAAAATTCTTTGTATGGAAAACAACCTATCTGTAGCACTTTGGACAATATGTACAAAAAAGCAACTCTCCTATCCATTCTGCAGAACATTTAATAAATGAAGCCCTTCTAATTAAAAACTAAAAATCCACTGTAGCTCAAAAGGCCAAAGAGAGTGAAACAGTTTTTCTATTTTGAAAAAGGAATTCTTTAGCTATTGCAAACAAGGGCTAGTGCAGTGATGTGAAATCCAAGTACAACATGTTAACAGGCATACTAGAAAAGCTAGCATTACTGTTTTAAGACCTAAGGATATTCACATTAAGGATAAAATTATCCTGTAGTGAATGCCAACAATGCATTTCATACTACACAGACACATATTCAAGGGTTCTACTTTGTTCTCATACCAATTCTTTTGTATCCCAGTAACAAACTTTCAAATTGGGATCCTTACCCTCTCAAAACAAACTAAAATGAAATATATGAACTTGGAGATAAAATTTCCTTGTGCTGTACCATTCATTCTGAGAAAGTAAATCAGATGAACAATTTAACATAATCTAATTCCAAACCATAAAGATATGGATTAGTCAGTGATGAGCAGGGTCTACTACTCATGATGTCATTTCAAAGCCATTATTAAATTTTACACATGTTATTCTTCCTTCAAATCAATCACAAAACAAGTCATCCCAAGACTGAGGTCAAATTCCATTCTAACTAAAAGATCTCCAAACCTGAAGTAATGGTCTACTTACTAAGTAATTCTCAAAGACTAAATTCCAGAAAAACCCTCCTCTTGTACCTCCCCCCAACTTAAAAAAAAAATCAGTCTTCTCCTTTTAGCTCACTGTAATGGAATGTGACCTGTACTTAAGGGCTTTTCCATTCCTTTTTTTCTGCTTAAAGAATATGAAGCAGACCTAGTCTCTCTCACAAGGGTAATGTTTTTAAAAGAAAAAAAGTAAAATGTACATAGTTAATCGTATAATAATTAGAACAAACAGAAAGTAAAATGATTTATTAGATTTCTCACATGTGAGTTGTCCTCCTATTAGAACAATACATGACACACAGAATGAGTGCACTTTTTGTTTGTTTTTTGAGACGGAGTTTTACTCTTGTCGCCCAGGTTGGAGTGCAATGGTACAATTTCGGCTCACTGCAACCTCCACCTCCCCAATTCAAGTGGTTCTCCTACCTCAGACTCCCAAGTAATTGGGATTACAGGTGTGTGCCACCATGCCTGGCTAATTTTTGTATTTTTAGTAGAGGTGGGGTTTCACCATGTTGGCCAGGCTGGTTTCGAACCCCTAACCTCACAGAATCCACCCACCTCAGCCTCCCAAAGTGCTGAGATTGCAGGCACGAGCCAACACACCCAGCCAGAATGAATGTATTTAAAAGACAACTGAATATTTATTTTTCTTTTACAACCATAATCAGACATCTGAAAGATTTATGATTTGTATCACTCCTAATAAATTGAGTAGGGAAAAGGAGTTTAAAACTATACCTACTTAAATTAATCTTCAACTACAATATCAAATTACTATAAACATTTTCCACAATGAATCATATTTTTACTACTGAACTTAGACACTTAAGTACCTAATCATAGACAGAACAGAGAGGTAAGCACTTAAGAAATATACTTCAAAGTCTAAAATTAAACACTTTCATTGATCTACTGAGCTTCAGCTCCTCATCTGAAAAAAAGAAGGCACTTAATTAGATAATCTTTAAAGTTATTTCTACGATACTTTAACCCAGGTTTTGCTTTGCTTTGTTTCGTTTTGTACACAGCTATCTCTGTTGCCCAGGCTGGAGGGCAGTAGCACGATCTCGGCTCACTGCAACCTCCACCTCCCAGGTTCAAGCAACTCTCCTGCCTCAGCCTCCCAAGTAGCTGGAACTACAGGCAAGTGCCACCATGCTCAGCTAATCTTTGTATTTGTGGTAGTCACAGGGTTTCACCATATTGGTCAGGCTGCCCTCAGACGATCCGCCCCCGTCAGCCTCACCAAGTGCTGGGATTACAGGCTTCAGCCACCGTGCCTGGCCTAACTCAAGTTTTAGGATGAACAAATTCTATTTAATTCAGACAAAAGCACTCCCAAAATAACTCTATTAAGGATATACTTTACTTACATTCTTCCTACACCTTCATACATGTTAGTCTCATCTACCAAAGTCATAATCTCTGTATCTGTAAGATGTGCATGCTTTTTCGTTCTGTTTAGCTGTTCAATCTGTATGTCTGCAAGCTTCACCTTCTGTTGAGTGTCGATAACTTTGGCTTGAAGCTCTGTGAAGGCCTAATAAAAACAATTCCATTATTTAGTAGGTAAAACATTTTACAGAAAACATTTACGTCAAATCCAAATATATTAGAACAAAACATGCTAGCCAGAGACAAAGCTGTGGAATTTACCAAAGCAAACATCAATAAAAGTCAACATAATTGTAAACAATCAAGACACTATACTAGACACTGAATTTACAATCATCAGAAGATGCAATCGGCTTGAAGCAAAACAATGCACATTAAACAATAACCATATTAAGGAGCAAGTACTTGGCCAGGCGTGGTGGCTCATGCCTGTAATCTAGCACTTTAGGAGGCTGAGGCAGGCAGGTCACAAGTTCAGAAGATCAAGACCATCCTGGCCAACATGGTAAAAACCCATCTCTACTAAAATACAAAAAATTAGCTGGGCATGATGGTGCGCACCTACAGTCCCAGCTACTCGGGAGGCTAAGGCAGAGGAAATCACTTGAACCCAGGAGGCAGAGACTGCAGCGAGCCGAGATTGCGCCACTGCACTCCAGCCTGGGTAACAGAGCAAGACTCCATCTCATAAAAAAAAAGAGGTCAAGTACTCAAGGAGTAATAAAAGAAATAAATGCAACAGTCAAGGATGAAACCCAGAAATTTAAAACAAGAACCATAAAAGTAACAACTCACTACATTTGTATTGCACAATTAGGTTCAAAGCACTTTCTCACATTAGTTTGAAATATTAACATGCTAGCATGAATATAAGAATGAGGAAATATAATGATAAATCTCATTTATTCTTCTCAATAATCCCGTGAGTTAGCGTTGGCAGTTTCATCATCTACAATTTACAAATTAAGTAATTAGGCTGGGTGCAGTGGCTCATGCCTGTAATCCAAACACTTTGAAAGGCTGAGGTGGGCAGATCACAATGTCAGGAGTTTAAGACCAGTCTGGCCAGTATGGTGAAACCCCGTCTCTACTAAAAATACAAAAATTAGCCGGGCATGGTGACAGGCACCTGCAGTCGTAGCTATGCAGGAGGCTGAGGCAGGAGAATTGCCTGAACCCAGGAGGCGGAGGTTGCGGTGAGCCGAGATCGCGCCATTGCACTCCAGCCTGGGTAACGAGAGCGAAACTCCGTCCCCAAAAAAAAAAAAAAAATTAAGTAACCGAATGAGTTAAGAGATAAAAGTGGCTTGCACAAGCCACTTCTGGGGGAAAGGCAGGTATTTAAAACCATTTCTTCTAACCTCTTAGTTCAGGTTCCTTTCCATTCTACTCTCTATAGTAATATTCAAAATATAAATGTTTTTAAGAGGAAGATCAAAAAGAGAGTGAGAAAAAATGCAAAGCACTGACAAAAGAATTGCATCATGATCTTCATCCACACATATCAGGCCAAATCTGACCCTTGTATACTGAAGATAAACAGTTCTTGGATACTGTTGTTAAAGTGCCTGGAATGACTCTCACATGCTGACAAATTTGTGCCTTAATAATAACATTTGTGACTGCAATGCACAGCAAAAGCTACTACATAATTTTTATTCTGACCCTGTTTTCACCTACTAGTAAGGTTTAGAAAGATTTATTTTGGGGGAGAGAAGGGGTCTGAAATTTCCTATTTGTCTCCACCCAAGAAAAGGACCCTGTAACAATATTAGAAGATAAAACATTTAGGCTGTCACGGTGGCTCATGCCTGTAATCTCAGCACTCTGGGAGGCCAAGACGGGCAGATCACCCGAGGTCGGGAGTTCAAGACCAGCCTGACCATCATGGAGAAACCCCGTCTCTACTAAAAACACAAAATTAGCGGGTGTGATGGTGCATGCCTGTAATCCCAGTGACTTGGGAGGCTGAGGCAGAAGAACCTCTTGAACCCAGAAGGTGGAGGTTGCAGTGAGCTGAGATCACACCATTGCACTCCAGTCTGGGCAACAAGAGCAAAACTCTGTCTCAAAAAAAAAAAAAAAAGAAGATAAAACCTTTAAACAAGTTTTTAATTTAATTGGTTGTCTAAATTATTCAGTTTAGGTCTGTAATCATTTTCTTAGTTTGCATTCACTATCCACATGTTTCAAATGCAGCAACAAATTCAAAAGTACCAGGAGGCAAGTCCATTCACTAAACCCTGATTTAAATCTGTATTTTTAATAGAAAAAAAGGCAAATTTTTAGAATGCACAATTTTGTTTTGAATGTAAAATTCCAGTATTATCTGACTGCTCTGCACAGCTTGCTAAAGAAGCTAGTAAACTGTTAAAGATTAGGGAACACCTAAGGGCTAGATTTACAAGATTCAAAACAAGAATAACAAAAAGCAAGACACAAACACATAATATCCTCAGAACAGCAGTAAAAGCTTCATCTGTTAGGAGCAACAGTTATTTCGGCTGTCCTATTTCTTTTGCACAGGTTGAGCAGAGGCAGTCTTAACTAAGATGTTGCTCATCTGAAGAACCCAAAATAATGGTCAAAAAAGTGTGAGGTAAGACAAAATACTGGATTCTAGTCCCAACCTCTGACATACTTTTCTAAAAAAGTAGATTTAAAATAGATAAATCCTAGGGTCCTTTCCAATCCACCCCACTGCACAAAGCATACTGGTTTGGGGTCATCAGCGGTGTTAGAATACTGGGTGGCTCACGCCTGTAATCCCAGCACTTTGGGAGGCCGAGGCGGGTGGATCACAAGGTCAAGAGATTGAGACCATCCTGGTCAACATGGTGAAACCCCGTCTCTACTAAAACCACAAAAAATTAGCTGGGCATGGTGGCGCGTGCCTGTAGTCCCAGCTACTCAGGAGGCTGAGGCAGGAGAATTGCCTGAACCTAGGAGGCGGAGGTTGTGGTGAG